TTCAGGTGGTGGGTTTTCAGGTATGTCCTAATGACTTTCTCCTATAAATGTCTAGTGTCTAGTGAGCCAGGAGCGAGGCCACTCGGGACCACTACAGAAGCGACGACGGGTCCCGCAGAGAAGTATTCAAAACCGGCGCAGCCTCTGTAGATACGCTGCATTCTTTTTACTAACCGCGTGCTTGCATGCTAAGTCTCTTTATTTCCGGTGGTGGGTTTTCAATTTTACCGTAATGCTTTTCTTTCTCATATAAATGTCTACCTGTACTCTATTCCATTAACTTGCACACCTCGCTTAAGCCAATGGTATTCGATTTCCATAATATTTTTGTGTCCGTGGCATTCCGTGAACTATATTTCCTGACCTCGTGCACTTAGCTAGGATCTGTTTGCAAACAGTTTATTACATATGCTATTTAATTAAGGTTTATATCACCGTTTCCTTATGCATTAATCGAGTTTTTCTCTTTTTCAGTCTCTCTCTCTCTCTCAAGTGGTTGGCTGTTGTTTGATATCCCCGATGTGGCTGCGCTTGATGTGCATGTTGGCAAGGTGCCTACCTGTCTACTACCCACTACCTCGTCCATACTGGCTCCAGGAGACCGTTGGTCGTTGCTGGACTGGACGGGGTGCACGGTTCTTGTGGCCGTGTTAGGATCAAAGAGTGGTTCCATGCAGTCAGTGTGGAGCGGACTACGGTCCAGCCACCGCCTTGTGTGCGCTTGATTTCCCAACTACAGCGTGCTTGTGTTTGCCTGTGAAGGAGTGTGGGCCGGCTCCGTTGATGAAACGTGGTTCCCATCCGCATGCCTCCTGGTCTTATTCCTTCGGGTTTACACTGGATATGGGGGGTGTGGTTGGAACTGTGGGTGGTGCAGCGCAAGCCACCCATGGTCCCTCTGTAGGCGCAGGCGTCCTGTGGCTTGCCACAGTGACAGGCAAATCCGAAACCGGATGCCGCCAGCCATATATATATATATATATATATATATATATATATATATATATATATGTATATATATATATATATATATATATATATATATATATATATACAGAGGGACCATGGGTGGCTTGCGCTGCACCACCCACAGTTCCAACCACACACCCCATATCCAGTGTAAACCCGAAAGAATAAGACCAGGAGGCATGCGGATGGGAACCACGTTTCATCAACGGAGCCGGCCCACACTCCTTCACAGGCAAACACAAGCACACTGTGTTTGGGAAATCAAGCGCACACAAGGCGGTGGCTGGACCGCAGTCCGCTCCACACGGAGTGCATGGAACCACTCTTCGAGCCTAACACGGCCACAAGGACCGTGCACCCCATCCCCTCCAGCAACGACCAACTGTCTCCTGGAGCCAGTATGGACGAGGTAGTGGGTAATAGACAGGTAGGCACCTTGTCAACATGCACATCAAGCGCATCCACACCGGGGATATCAAACAACAGCCAAACACTTGAAAGAGAGAGAGGGAAAGAAAATAACTCGATTGATGCATACGGAAACGGTGACATAAACCTTAAGTTAATGAGCATATGAAATAAGTTGTTTACAAACGAATCCTAGGTAAGTTCACGAGGTGAGAAGGTATACTATACGGAAATACCACGAACACAAAAATATTATGGAAATCAAATGCAATTGGCTTAGGCGATGTGTGCAAGTTAATGGAATAGAGTGCAGGGAGATATTTATATGAGAAACAAAAGCATTAAAGTAAAAACTGTAAATCCACCACCGGAAATAAAGAGACTTAGCATGCAAGCACGCGGTTAGTAAATCGAATTCAGCGTGCCTACAAACGCTGCGCCGGTTCGCCGTAATTCTCTGCAGGACCCGTCGTCGCTTCTGTAGTGGTCCCAAATGGCACAGCTCATGGCCCAATAGACATTTATATGAGAAAGAAAGGCATTAGGGGAGAACCGAAAACCCACCACCTGAAATAAAGAGACTTAGCATGCAAGCATGCGGTTAGTAAATCGAATTCAGCGTGCCTACAAACGCTGCGCCGGTGCTGCCTACGTTCACTGCGGGACCCGTCGTCGCTTCGGCAGTGGTCCCGAGTGACCTCTCCCATAGCTCACTAGGCCTGCCTGACTAAGGCACTCGCGACCGCATGTTTTACAGCACAATGCGCTCGATGTCGATGGAGTACAATTCATTGGTGCTTGCCGCTTCCGCAACTGCCGCTTCTTCTCTGCATGCATGAGGGCTTTCTCCCGCACTTCAGCAACTGCCTTCGTGATTAGATCGCGCCATGCACACCGATCAACCGCCTTCGATTCCCATGATCTGCAATCAAGGTTAGAATATGTGAGGCTCACTTTAATCATGTCCTGGTATAGTAACTTTGGTTTCCCCACGTGCCGCTTCCCAATACTCAGCTGACCATACAAAAGTTGTTTCGGTATTCGCGTCGAAATATATATATATATATATATATATATATACATATATATATACAATCGTCCACGAATAGACATAGAGCCATCATTAACCATTGGACTCCAAAAAAGTTACAAAACTAGTAAAAGAAAACACATCGGAATCCATTATTTCGTCAGAGGGCGAGGTACTACTCGGTTGCCAAAGCCGAAGTAGGGTGTTGACTTAAGGGACACTACTCCTAGCCTTAATATCCGAATAGCCTGCCCGCAAGTCACCGGAACGAATTCAGGGAATCGCGCTCTTTGGGCGCCAATGACTGATTGCTCAGTACATACGCCTTTCGTTTGTCAAACTGGGGCCCAATGCTCCCCAGAATTACTGCATAAAGTTGCTGGAATACAATGGTTCGCCAGGATGAAGCAAGGAGAAGTGGTTTTATTTAGTGGCGAGTCACAATGTTGTTAGATGGACATATGTGGCTTTTTATAGGGAAAACGCTTGCCAGGCGAAAACCCACCACGTCCTGGAACACTGCCGCCGAACCACGCAGCTGACAAACCAGCCCCTGCAATATTGTTAACCACATTGTGGGCAATTGTTGGGCATCTTAAATTCAAAAGAACTATGAATGCTGTTGTATCTACGTCTTTTACGCACTGGTATAAAGGCTTTGGCTGGCGCTGATTTATATTGATTGGGATCACGTAATACAGGTATATGGAACTTCTCAGTTTCTGCGTTCTCAGAAAGCACATTGTATGACCCAAACAAATAAGAATTCAATGACAAATATTTCTGTGGCACATTTATCAATGTGCCAGTATCCAAAAGGACAAGGCATCTACCTCGCACTTTAGAAGTCAACGGTTTGAGCATACTTAGGGGACCGGACGACCTTAGCTCACGCGCGACTGGTTTTGATTGCGTGACGGCGAAGCCTCGGTAATGCGTGCCGGCGTACCGCTGATATCTTCTTTCTTTTTTCCCATTTTTACCTTGTAGGTAAAAATGCCAAAAAGAAAATAAATAATTGAGCACAAGCATCCAGAACACACCTCAAATGAATGAACGTAAACAGGACAGCCACCTTTTTGTAACGTCGCAGTGATACTTTCTCTTCAATTCGCAGTCTGATGAATACAATACACCGAAAGATCCACGCTTTCCTTCTATGCTTCTCTGGATGGGATTGCGCCAGCTAAATGCTCCGATTTCGGAAGACAACAACTCGAAATGGCTGAAGAAAGGGGCTATGACTTATGATTTACTTTTCGCCTCCTCCGGGTAACGGCAAGGCACGAAGAGCGCATGGGCCGCTCAGCACCGTTATGTCACACACCAGGCTCCGATGGCTGACCGATGTGTTGCGCATGCCAGCACACTGACACCAGGGTGTGGATAGCAAATGAGGAGGAGAGGCCAAGCGATGACTTGGTCAAGAAAAATTAAGGACCTTACTTCGAAGTTGGCGTCGGTTGGTGTGTATCGCTTGCCGCGCTGGGGTATCAAAGATGTTGAACACGTCTGGTTAGACACACTTGTTAACATGGCAAAGGTCCGACCTCATTGGCATTTGTGTTGTGAATCTCTTTATCCCTCCCCTTTAGCTCCCCCCCGGCATCGATCTAATACCGTGCATAATATGATACTTAACATTATATTCCCTTTTATTTTTGAAAAATAGTCTGTGCTGTCTACTATTTTGTATTGCGGCACAAAAGTTGTGGTGTGCTTCTCACCCTCAACTAACGTGTATTGATGATGATGATATGTGAACGGAGAATGACCCAGCTTGATTCTGCCCATCTTATCGTGGTGAGAATGCGGCACTGCCTTTATGATATTTGACAGCTTCGTTCACTCACATTTTAAGTCTCCGCCAAACCCAGGTTCCTTCTCGGAAGCGTGTTTTGTATGGGCCATTCATAAAACTAGTGTAGACCCTCAGATGAGATTTAACAAATTCTCACTGCACGTTTTTCATTGACGTATAAAACAGAAATTTCTTTTAAGGGAATTATAACATTTCGGAAAAATATCACGAACCCCCCAAGTTGTCCGTGGACCACGCTTTACCAAACGCTACTTGGCATTTTCCTATTACGCACGACATTGGAGGATCAGTCGCTCGACAGCACTTGGCAATCGGTCATTTCGGTCCACAGCTGCTACCCATAACCTTTGGATGAAGTCACTAACTCGTAAAAGTAAGGCAATAGGTACGGACCCGGCGGATTTCGTTGGATGCGTGCTGCTCGTGAGTCCCAATAAAACGCAACGGTCCTCCAGTGCTTTGTGGATGTGTGATGGCTGTGTGGACCTCAAAAGTTGCTTGACTGTGTGACAGTTCTTCCTCTGCTACGATTGCAGTAGTTTGCGCGCTTGTCATGCACTATTTGACTGTGTTCCCCACAGCAGTGGTCACGGAAGATGAAGTATGCCTCTCGTGTATCTCCCCCGAATCTTTGGCAACTACAGCGTTCAAAAACACTTGTATACGCATTTCCTTACAATCTCCTCGACGCTCTTTTACCGATATTTTCACTTTTGCATTCTCCTATTTGCGCATCTGTTTGACCTTATCTAGTCCCGTTGATTTTCACAGAGCGCAATCCGCTCAACTTTCAGAACAAGACATGGAGCTGCCTCGAATTCTTCGTTTGTTAAACCGCTATTGTTCACCCCATCTCGCTGACAGTTGGGATAATGTTGGGTTGCTGATTGAACCTTCACCACCACTATATATAAAAGATGTCTTAGTTACGAACGATCTAACTGGATCAGTCCTGTCAGAAGCTATACGGAAACGGATAAATTTCATACTGTCCTATCATCCACCAGTATTTAATCCTCTTAAGCGCTTCACACAAGACTCTTGGCGCGAACGAGTTGTTATTCAATGCTTAGAGAATAGAGTCGCTGTTTTCTCTCCTCATACCGGCCTGGATGCAAAGAAGGGTGGCGTCAACGACTGGCTCATCAGTCCCTTTGGTATGAAGCCCCGACTACACTTTAATTTTAGAGTGTGAGCATGTTAGGTCGATTGTGCAGGTGACTCCTACGACCGGAACAATCTCGCTTTTACGAGTGCCATTTAACAAAGAATTTCGGTCCTTTTGTGAAGCTGTGGATACTGTCTTCTCGGTAAACATCCCAAGGTATGTTTTTACTTTAAGGCTACGTCCTCTGAAGCGCGAACGGTCAGGCGGCTGAACTCTTGTGCACCTCTGACAAATTAGAGCAGATTACGCAACAGCTTGGTGCATATAATCTATCACTTTTAGACAACGGCGTCGTCCCAGAGGTACTTTCCAATTCTTTCGTTTTTCCGTTAGGAATTTATAGGCTACGGCCGTTTGGCTACTCTTTCTTCTCGGCTAAAATTATCTACAGTCCTGGATCGTTATAAGAAACTGCTACATGTTGATCACCTGACGGTAGCGTTAGGCGATGGCAAAACGTTTGGTGAGTGGTTTATTCTTCGACACTGATTCACACTTTATTTGTTTCCTCCTGGTTTGCTTGTTTAGTCTTTTTAATATTTTCGTCCCGTTACGCCTTGCATTTCCACGGCTACTGGCTATGTGGTCAGGAGCAGACCATACAACGGACTACATTTGTCCAGTCTACAAAACTGGAGAGGTGTCACCGTTACAAGTACGCTTACAGCTGCACCCGGAAATTACCGAGCTAAGATGTAATGATGGATTCCCGTTTCGCTTAACCGTGCTGGATCAAGTGTAGCAAAAGAGACAGTGGAATTGACCTTTCTGTGGACGCATTCCACTATTTAACTACCTATTTGTATCTCCGAAGCGAGCGAAAAATTTCTGTTTCCGTACATCTCATCTTAACTCGATGAATTCGCCTTCTTGATATTGCGCATGGAACATGCGGAATCTATCCATTGGAAGCATAAAATATAGTTACTCACTACCAAACTGATTGCCAATGACTCGCCTCATTTTTCATGCTGGTATTCATGCATCCACTTTGCATTTGGTTTAAGACACTGCAAGATAAAGCTGGCAACGGTTCCACTGACTTATTTGCTGTCGTCTCCCAGCGGCTTTGCTTGTATTGCTTGTGCACATGGCCGATTTAGACATTTGGTGAGGTCAACTATGTTACAGTGTAGTTAAAGCTGCAGAGAAGCTACCTTAACAGTCTCGTTTTGTCGAGACACGGTATCCAATTGTGACCGTATGCAATGTAAAGTGGCCTTCGAACTGCATATGTTTAGGTTTTACGTTAAGTCTTCTCCCGTTTTTATTATGCTGACATCCGGTTCCGGATTCGCCTGTCACTGTGGCCTCCATAGGACAGCCACAGGACGCCGGCACCTACAAAGGGACCATAGTTGGCTTGCGCTGTATCAATCACACCTCCATCCACACACCCCATATCCAGTGTAAACCCGAAGGAATAAGCCTGGGAGCCACGTTTCATCAACTGAGCCGGCCCACACCTTCAACAAGCAGAGCAGAAGCATTCATACGTAATTGGGAAACTGCTAGGAGGGTACGGTTTCTCGAGCGCAAACCAGTGGAGCACGTGGATCGTGTTCACTTAACCAGCTGCTTCAAAAACCAAAACGAACTGAGCCATAGGTCAACCCGGCTGATGCCTAACGCACCGGAAAGCTCTCGATCAACAGACCAGTGTTCATTTGAAAACAGTACCCATGATCGAACACGCATTCGATTAGTGCAGGCGGTACAGTGTGAATTCTCCCCTCGCGTTTGGTTCACGTTCTGTTCTCAGAATAAACTCCGGTTTTTCGCTTACTCGCCTTGCTTATTTTTCATTGCCGGGAATTAGACTACTTTCTACTCTAGCAGTACCTGGCACAACAGAGACCATGTGTACCAGACAAGATGGTGGCTGAGCCATGCTCCGCTCCACACTGCATGGAACCACCTGGGCGTAGCGCAGCCACGAGGACCGTGCACCTCGTCCCCCTCAACAACGGTTCACAGTTTCTTGGAACCAGTAATCGTGATGGAAGGTGCTAGACAGGTAGGTACCTTGTCAACATTCACATCAAGCGCAACCACAGCGGGATTTTGAGCGACAACCAATCATTTGTAATGATAATATCCGTCAAAATATATCGAATAAAGCCAACGGATATGCCGACGTAACTTCCTCTATATCAGCATATGTAATAAATGGATTATCAACAAATCCGCCATAAATTCAGAATGTCAGAAAAAAGACAAAATAAATGCTACAAGCGGGAAAAATTAAAATAGCTAACTACCTTTCGTTTATGCGACGTGTGCAAGTACATAGATTACCATGTATTACCGGATATAAGTCCGTCCATGGATAGGCCGATAGTATAACTTTGTGACATCAGATTTGTCCAAAGTCGTAAGTCCCTGTATTAGCCGACCCCAAAAAATATCAGCAAAAGAGAAACAAAATTGTTTCTTCACGATTTTGACCTCATCATTACCTGCTCACATTTAGGTGTGTTCACATGAAACCTGCTCTAATATTGCTCAGTTGTGGTGACCGTAATGTAGTATGTTTGCGGTTACCGTTGTGCGGGGCCGTCTTAAAAGAGTTTCACAACACCGGACAGTGTATTGATCAAGTGTCAAGTCAAAAGAAACAGGCAAGACAGCCGACAATATAGAGTGATATGAGAGGGCGTGTCAGACAGGCCGCCACGCATTGTCGGCGGCGTCATACATATAAACCCCAGTAGAGCAGTAGGTGAGAGTGAAGTTCACGGTCAGGGCGTGTGGGATGACCTCCTACTTTTAAGTCGCTAGAACGCCTGCCATGCCATATTATTTAAAAGCTTTTGATTCGCCGCTGCCATCCATCGTGGATGTCAAATGTGCAATGTGCCGATAATTTTCGACACAGAAGTAACGTGTCCAGTTATAGGCACTTCAAATCCACTCCTGGAATATCGTCCGTCACTAGCGAGTGGTGCTAGGGGGAGATAAGGGCAGTGGTGTTCAGTGAATTCCCGGGTAGATATTGCATGTCACTATTTTCGGGCCGACCATCCTCTACAGAGACGAAAAATTGCTCAAATATCCGGTTTATTTTCGGTAATACACGGTACTTAGATTGCCATTAAAATGAGGTAACAAAATCCGCGTAATGACTATAGCAAACCAATCACATAAAGAAAGCACGTGGTTAGTATGTGCGTGTGTGTGTCAGCTGTACGCCGTAACGGCGCTTCGCTGCGGCGCGACCACCAGTCGCGCGCGGGCTGAGTTTACCCCGAGGACGCCCACCCCTAAGCGGATTCGAACTGGTGACCTTATGGTTGCAAAGCAAGCGTGCAGACCACTCGGCCACCGGCCGACACGTGGTTAGTATAATAAGACTAAATTCCCAGATGTACACTGTAACGGCGCTTCGCTGCCGCACAGCCACCATCAGTCGGGCGTGGGCTGAGTATACCGCGAGGACGCCCGCTCCTACAATGATTCGTATCGGTGACCTTATGCTTGCAAGCCAGGCGTGCAGACCACTCAGCCACCTGCCGACACGCGGTTAGTGCATCAAATGAAAGCGCATGCAGCGTATCTACCATGCGTCGGTTCTGCTTACGTTCGAAGCAGGACCCGTCGTCTCGGTGCTGGTGCCTAGTGGCCTCGCTCGTGGCTCACTAGGCCTGCCCGACTCAGCCACTCTCTACCGCTTGTGCACCATGCGATCGATACCTGATCGGCGCTTGCAGCTTCGCATACACGAGGGCTTTCTCTTGCATCACAGCAACTGCCTTCTTGATCAGGTCGTGCTATGTACGCCGATCAACCGCCTTCGATTTCCAACACCTGAAATTAATACTAGGACGTGATAGGCTCACCTTGATCCTGTCCTGGTAATGAAGCCTCGGTTTCCCCACATGCTGCTTCCCCGCACTCAGCTGACCACATAACGGCTGCCTCGGTATCCTTTACGAATCCATACCTCACACATAGCCGAGCCACCTTGGGTGTCTCAGCGAAAGTATGCATTCCGCTGCATACATCCCACTTCGGCGCAACACTTCCATGTCTGCAACTCTGTCGCACCAACTAATGCGCAGAATCCGTCGCAAACGCTGTCGATGGAACCGCTCGAGATATCGCACATCCCGCCGGTACATCGTCTACGTTTCGCTGCCGTATAGAAGAACGGACAGCAGCATGGATTTGTACACCATCAGCTTCGTGCCAACGATAAGCTGATGGTTGTTTCACACTCAGTACTCAAGCTTCCCGAATGTCGCTGCTGCCTTCGAGACGCGGATACTAAGCTCACTGTGTGGCTGCTGGTCAGTCGACATCACACTCCCGAGGTAGCAGAAGCGGTAGGTGATTTCCAATACTACAGCACCAATACTGATTCGCGGCAATATTGAAGATTGCACCTCCGGTGAAGGCTGAAAGAGACAGACAGTTTTGCTTGTGTTGATGGTGAGCCCGAAATTGGCCGCTGTCGAAGCCAGAGCACTAGTCATGTGCTGCAACTCATCCACTCTGTGTGTATACAACGCACAGCCATCAGCAAACAGCAACATACGGATGACTGTCTCACAGACTAGGGTTCTGGCACCGAAACGACGGATGTTCAGTAACCCACCATCAATACGGCACTCCACCCGAACACCGTAAGCACAAGCGGCATCAAAAGCACAGGACATCATGGCATGAAGATAAATATTAAACAGAGCAAAAGCTGATACGCAGCCTTGTTTAACACCAGAGACAACTGCAAAGTCATCCGAGGTCTCTCCACTCAGCTGCACCTTCGCTCGCATACCACTGTTCAGACATTCAATTAAACTTACAAAGTTACTCAAACAGCCAAACTTACTCAACACCATCCACAATACTTCGCGGTTCACTGTATCAAATGCTTTGGTGAAATCAACAAAAAGCGAGTACAACTGCTGGTGTCGTTCTATGCACTTCTCCTGTAACTGACGAGTCGCAAACACCATATCTATAGTGCTGCGACCCAAACGGAATCCACATTGCTCTTCCGCCACTTGCGGTCCCACGACCTGACTGACGGGGTGGTTGAGCAGGATTCGGGCAATCACTTTGTCCACACAACTCAGCAAGTTGATACCACGATAATTAGTGGCATATTGCTTGCTTCCTTTGCCCTTGTACAGTGGTAGCACAAGGGCATCCTTCAGCTTTGGATGCACCTCCTCCTTAACCCACACGCGTTAAGCCAACTTGTGTAGCGCATTTGCAATCACGGGTCAGCTGTGTTTCAGTACTTTAGGCAGGATCCCGTGGGCACCGGTACACTTACCGTTTCGCAGCTGAGCAAGTGCCCACAGCGTCTCATCCACTGTCGATGTGTCCCCCAGACTCACCTTCTGCTTTTTCAGGTCGTTCAATGTAGGCTAGTCAATCTCTGAACAGTTGTTCAAGAGACACTCGATCTGATTTTACCATATCTGTATTATGTCCGCAGTTTGTGTGCAGATGGCGCCTGAACTACCATCGAGTATTTTCTT